CCGCTGCCTGCCATGTCCAAGGAAACGCCACAGTGGGGGTCTGCCACTGGAGCCGTGGCCTCCCTTTGGTAACATCGTCAGACCGTGTCACTCCTGTCTCCCTGTCATGAGCCACTCAGTCCCTGCCATACTCTCACTACTTCCCGGCTGCTTTCTGATGGCCACAGGTCCTCCAAGTTCATCCTCTCGTAGTTACGGTGGCTTTCACCAGGCAGAGAGCTCCATCTCTTATATCTGCTCACACCCCAGCCGGCATCCTACGCCCTGCCATCATGGGGCCGAGCACTCGGGGGCATTTCATTGATGGGGAAACAGCACAGGAAAGAACTGATTGGAGCAGATTGACACAGTTCCTGAAAGGGCCAGCACTGGGTCCCAGGACTGCCTAGGCCGGGGCCTGCCACCATCTAACGAGCAGCACAGGAGAGGTCAGGGCAACTGATGCACACGGGTGCCCTGGGAAAGCTGCCATGCTATAGATCTGCTCTTGTCCCCCCGGCGGATGAGGTTCTTTCATTCCCCACTCGCCTCTGAGCCAGGCCCGCGGTGTGTGAGGCACACGGCGAGAGCAGCATCCTTCAGCTACAGCCACGGTTCAGCTGTTCGTGGCTGGGGAGCACGGCTGCCCAAAGCACTAACAGCTGAAGATGCTTGGCTGACACAACACTAATGTCTGTCTCAATATGTCTTTAAGAAGAGAGCAGTTGACTGCCAACAAGACCATATTGTGAGCCGAAATGGAACAAGCAGCTGGTGGACCGACGAGGGACCAGGCTACAGGGACACATTTGACAGAGGACGTTCCCAAAGTGAGTGCTGGTATCACAGAGGCTAACCAAAAGCACAAGCAAGCCTCCGATGTTTGCGTGGGGGTTGGAAACCTTCCAGTGCATTTATTAAGCAAAGTCAGGTGTTATCACCGAACATAAGTATACGTAAATATCTCTATTTTATATATACATATATGTACATCTTTATTTCTGTCTCTGTCTGTATTTTACTTCCTGCTGGGTAACAGACAATGTGTGTCAGAGCACAGTGCTTTAAAACAACCATGTTCTTGCTCATGACATGTAGGTCTGGTCTCAGCACCATCCCTCTCTTCCGCAGGCTAAGAAGTGCACGGTGATCGGAGGTTCTGGATTCCTGGGGCAGCACATGGTAGAGCAGTTGCTGGCACGTGGCTATGCCGTCAATGTGTTCGATATCCGACAAGGGTTTGACAACCCCCAGGTGAAGTTCTTTCTGGGCGACCTCTGCAGCCAGCAGGTAACAGGCCCTGCAGCCTTGCTGGTTTCCCACAGGCCCCCCAGGAAAATCTGCCATTTGCTTGCTCAGAGGCCAGTGCTGTTGATTGGGAAAAAAAAGTTTAATTCCAACAAATTGTTTTCTTTTTTTCTTTAGCTTTTTGCAGTAGGGCACGTGAGCTCACTAGAGAGAGACAGAGACAGACAGCAAAAGAAGAAAAGAAAAAAATCACCCCCTCCCAGGGGAATGGCCATACCTCAATTCCCTCTCCGCCAGTCTCCTTTGGGGACTTCAGGCATGCAGGCATACACCCCTAGCAGGATTTGTAGGCACTCCCGGATCCAGGACTCAAGCTGCACCATCGGCCATTCGGGATCCAGTACCTTAACCGCCCCACCACCTACTGGCCCTAATTCTGAAAAAAAAAAATGTAAAGGATAAGAAAGTATTTAGCACAGGCCACATTTTTATCGCTCAGAATGAGGACGTGCCATTTCTGTCGCAGAGGTGAACAGTTGCAAAAGCAGCCCATCAGTGCCAAGGTGACCAGCCGGTACTCCCCTCAGGGTGTGCGTGCTAGGCCACGGGACTTCGTCTTTTATGGAGACGTAATTCACGTGCCGTAAATTTTACCATTTTTGTGAAGTGTGTCCTTTCATTGTCTCTGCTCCTCTGGACAGTTCACAGACGTGGAATCATAGGACAGAAATGTCTTCAAATTTTTACCATGTCATGATATTAATATTTTGAATTCTATTAGGCATTGCCAGATTGCTCACAAAGCTGCAAGGCCAAGTTTGCGGGCACATCAGTGGATTAGCACCCCCAGTGCTCCATGTCCTTGGTGACACTGGGCCTATCAGACATTTTGGGGCATGAAAGGGCAATGGTGATGTACGGGGTTGGGCGTCCACCTGTGCAGGATCAGTCATGTGCCCTTCTTGGTCGGCATTTGGCTTTGCTCCATGCCAGTACCCCTTGTCCATTTATTTTGGGGCTGCCTTGTTCTCAGTGCTCATGTACTGGGGACACCCCCTTAGCATGCTGTATGTATCACAGATGACCTCCCTCGGCTGGCCCTGGGCTCTTGTTCTTGGCCTTGGTGTCATTTGCCATCTGGTGGGTTTTGTTCTTATCCATTTGAATTTGAATGACATTTCAAAATCCCAGCTAGTTTCTGCCTTTGGGCCTGGCAGTGGGGTAGACACCTTCCTGCTCGTTCTTGCCACTTTCAGACCATTCTCCTGTGCCCCGCCCTAATCCCCTCCAGCCCTGAAGATGGCACATCAAGCTGCACAACCCCCGGCACCTTCCTAGGCGGCGCCACAGCATTCCTTCCTGATTTTAGTCTCCAGCCGATGCCCACCTTGATGACCTTGCGGCCATGACCGTTGGTGAATTCTGTATTCACCAATACCCTTGCCTTGCGTTTCCTTTCCCTCCCACCACTGGTCTTGTACTCTGTCCCCATTGTTACTCCGTGGGCCTGAACCCTGTGCTGCTCCATCGCACTGAAGGCTGCTGGCTTTCCAGTCCACACCCTCTGAGGCCTCGGCTCCTCCACCACCACACAGCCATTTGTGTCCTTGCTGCCTTTGGGTCTACGGCCCACACATTCTCTAGCCTCAGCTTGACCCCCCTTGCCACTTTCTCTTCTTATGGATGTAAGCCAGGGTTCCCCAGAGAAACAACCTGGAATGGGGTGGCTGGACGGAAGAGAGGAGGAGAGAGAGGTTGACATCAATTCCAGGAGTTGGTTCAGGTGAAGGGAGACTTGGGGGTCACCTGGAAATGGGCAGGAGCTGGTGCTGCAGCTGAGTTAGACTCCTCTCCTGGAGGCCTTCACTGGAGGGGTGCAGCTAACCCAGATTATCAAGGACAGTCTCCTTTACGTGAAAATGGACAGACAAGGTGCTAGCTAACCTTGGCCACCAGAGACCTCCACAGCAGCACCAAGACTAGTACTCACTGGTGACTGGGGCCTAGCCCGGCAACACATCAAAGACCCATCACCCTGTGACTCCAGCTCTGGGTAAAGTCAATTCTCTCTTCCTGATGGCTCTTGGGTGGAAAAGGGCATCCAGGCTTGCTCCTTTCTGCTTTTTCCGTGTCCACAGCTGTCAAGTGGCCCCTGAGGCCACCCGGCAGCTGTCCACAGGTCTACCCACACCCATCTGCACTCTGCCTCCCCCACCATGCCTGGGCATGCCACGTCCATGCAGAAGCACCCATCCAGCGCCAGCTAGAACCCACCTCCTGCTCTCTACACAAGGATTCTGCTAGGGGTTCTCCCCCATCCTGCATCAGCACTTCATCCTTCTCTGTATGTATCACAGCCATCAACCCACAGACATGCTGCAGTGTCATCTGTCTTCAATGCCCTAACACTGTGTCCCAGCTGGGAGCCACCCTTTGCAGCAGAGCTCAAAGAGGCGCTGGCACTCACTAACCCTAACCCCCCTCCACTGGCTCAGTTAGGTCCCTGTCACAGCACCAGGGACCTCAAGGGTGACAATGAGGTGGTCAGGTCTCCTTGTCAGATACTGGGATGCCACATGCACTCCTTTCTCCTCCTGCCTCACCCGTTGACCCTTCTCAGGCTCTGTCAGTTCCCAACTTTGCAGGCTCCAGGCGTATTGTCTAGATCTCGTTCCTCTTCGGGGTGGTCAGTTTTCTGCGAAGTCATCCTCTCTCTTGGGTTAAGTACAGTCTAGGAATTGACAAGGCCCCAGCTTGGTCTCTCCAGCCCACAGCTCATTTCAGGCCTGCCTCATTCCAGAGTTGAGTTCCTGGAGGTTCCCTGTCTCAAGCTCTCCCTGTTCCCCGCCACAGCAGCCCCTCCCACTAAGGTCTTCTCCATCTCCATCAGTGCG